CCCGGGGCCGCCCCGCGTGCTCCGCGTCCTCCTCCTCTTCGTCTTCCGCCTCCGAGCCCTCCAGGGGGGACACCTGGCCGGCGTCTCGGGCCACAGCATCTAGAGGAGAAGGGGACGATGACCAGAGCGCAGAACCACCCGGCCCGTCCGGGTCCCCTGACTCCTCCGCTTCCCCCCCAGAGCGCGCAGCTCTTCCCCCAGCCCAACCCCCATCGCCGCTCCTCTGCCCACATCGCGCTGCCCCCACCCTCCGACCGCACATCCTCGCGAGCGGCTTTAATGTCCTCTTGCCCTCTACGACTCTGCCACATCTGCCACCAAGTAGGCGTCCAAGAGTGAGTGAATGAATGAATGACAGTCCGCATTAGGAGAGAATAGTGACCTTGTTGGGCAACGTTATGGGGGCGGGGGGTGGTGTAGGATCGAGGATCGTCGTACATTAAGACATCGAGACGTCCAGTGTGTTCAGGTTGTGCCCCTGCAGCCCCTAGAAACCTGTCTTAGTCGGGGACTCCTAGCAATTAAAAAAGTTATTCAGCTCTGCCCCCTTCCCCCCGCTCCCCGCCTGTAGAGTGAAATTCCCCCTTTCCCATCTTCTCTCTTCTGCCGTGTTAATAGAGTTTCAGATTTGTGCGGGGCCGGATCGATAGATGTCATCTATTAAAGGTAAGTTTTAATCGAACAATATTAGGATCAGACAGGGAAAGGGGGTTTGAAGTCGGTACCTGCAAGCTGCGGGCAGGAGATATGCGGGCGCCAGTAATAGAATATCGATCATGGTGGGGGAGAGCGCGGCCCCTCGGAGAGGCCATCGGAACAATTACCGGGCCGACGGCCGGGGCCCCAGACAATCACTGCCAAACTTGGGGAGGGAGAGCAGAGAGCTGCGCGCGTCCAACCTCCCTGGGGACCGCAGCCCCTGACCCTTGCTGTCGCTCCAAGGAAACTCGTGCCCACGCCCCACCCAGGACGAATCCTGCTGTCTTCCGTCCTTCCTTCTTGCCACAAACTTTCCTGGACCCTTCATCAGGTGCCCGCCAGCGTTATAGGAATAAGTCAAAAAGGGTTTTCAGGAGGAAGTACCATAAGCCTCCTATTACTCCACCCCAGTCCGGTCCCCAGCCCCGGTTAACGGTTGGGTCTGCGTGGGGCAGCCGAGTTCCTGCAGGTGTCTCGGGATGGTTGGAAGTGGACACTTGACCTCTCTACTCACCGAAACCCCGGGCACATGCCTTAACCTCACCTCCCTCGCCCATAAAATGGGCGTGATGTTAATGACGCCGTCCACCCCGCAGGTTCCCAAGTATTTCATTACCGTTATCCCAGCCCCAGCCCAAGTCCTTGCACGTGGCAGCCTCATTAAACCCCTGATAAATGAATGAGCCTGGTAACGTGGGCGCTGGGTACGTGTTAGTTTCCACTGCGAGCAAGTCATTGCTGCGGTGCGTACCCGCGCAGGGATGGCGCTTCTGTGGGACGCCCCTGCCCCCGAGTGCTGGGACCTCCTTTCTACCTCAGTCCAACTCCGAGGCGGGGCTGCACTCGGCACCCGGTCCTGTGCATTAAGAGCCACCCACCGGGCCCTGGCCGCTCACTCACACCACACACACTCCGCGTCATCTGGGCAGGGGCCGCCCCGCATGCTTACCAGGGGTCTCCCGCTGTCGGACCGGGTCCCCGGGGCTGGCGTCCTTCCCCGCTTCGACCTCCGCCAAACTTTTCTTGGCTTCCCGGGGAGCGAGACGCACGGCCGGGAGCGCAGCGCGGGTGAATTTCTGCGGGTCCAGGATGTCCAGCACCGAGAAGGAGATCTTGTGGTGGGAGGGAGCCGGCTTGGCCCCGCCATCCTGCCACGCCAGCATGCCCGCCGCCCGCGGGTCCGGGATGACCGCGCTCGGGCTTGCCTTCGGCTGTGGCTCGGCCGCAGCTCTCCGGCGGGGAGTGGGGGTTCGCGCGGCCAAG